TGGGTTCCTCGGGTTTGGTTTGGCCTTGCCGTGCAGCCCGCGCCCGGCTCGCAGCGTTGGCCGCCACCTCCCCTCTGGGAGCGCCCGGCCCCCGCAGTGAAGTGTTTACGTTCGCTTTCAGTCCTACTACTTTGACCGTGACGATGTGGCCTTGAAGAACTTTGCCAAGTACTTTCTCCACCAATCTCACGAGGAGAGGGAGCATGCCGAGAAGCTGATGAAGTTGCAGAACCAGCGCGGTGGCCGCATCTTCCTTCAGGACATCAAGGTGAGCTGAGGGCCTGAGGCACAGTCGTGCGCAGCGATGGCTTGGGCTACCGGGTCCGGAAAGTGGGCACCCAGCCTGGGGCAGGGACGGTAAAGCAGGAGCTCTCTGGGGGACTTGGCCACGAGATGGCAGTGCCTGCAGACAGCTGACCGAGCGCCTCTCGCTCAGAAACCAGACCGCGACGACTGGGAGAGCGGGCTGAACGCGATGGAGTGCGCCTTACACCTGGAGAAGAGCGTGAACCAGTCACTCCTGGAGCTGCACAAGCTGGCCACTGAGAAGAATGACCCCCACGTGAGCACGGCGGGTGGCACGGAGGGAGGGTGGGCCTGGGGCTGAGGATGAGGCTGACCGGCGCGCCCCTCCCCAGCTGTGTGACTTCCTCGAGACCCACTACCTGGACGAGCAGGTGAAGGCCATCAAACAGCTGGGTGACCACGTGACCAACCTGCGCAAGATGGGGGCCCCCCAGGCCGGCATGGCGGAGTACCTGTTCGACAAGCACACCCTGGGGGACGGCGAGGACAGCTAAGCCGGGGCTGGCCTCAGCCGGGTAGCACATGCATGTTGGGGTTACCCTTGCTTTTTCTAGAAGTTGTACCAAGACATCTACTTAAGTTCTTTAATTGCTTCAAATAAAGGAATTGGTACCCAGCTATCGCTGCAGTTGTGGGGTGTCAGAAACGTCTGGGTCACCTTGGTTCCTACGAATAGCTCGGTATGGGTCACACTAACCACAGTGCGCACCTAGGAGAATAAATATTCAATGTATTAAATTCTCAGCTTGGGAACACAGGTGTGGGTGTGTTGAATCGGGCCAGGACTGAGGCCTCACTATGCTGCAGTAGGTGATTTCCCACGCACGGTTCCTTCTAGCTTACAGCATGCGGTGCTAAAAAGGCATTAAAGCTGAGGGAGTCCTGCGTTCCTTTACTCGAAGTCTGTTGAGCTAAGCACTCCAGCTGTCCTGGGAGTGCCCTGTGCTGTGGACAGCTGTGTGGCTACGACTGGACCAGGGTCCCAGAGGTGTGCGCGCAGGAAAGGACCAGGCTGGTGACGCCCTCAGGCAGTTAGGAGCGGGTGCCGTCCCTGCACGGGTGGGAATGGTCACAGCTTGAGAAAGGACCTTTCTGCAAGACTGAGGTGTGTAGTAGACAAAGTTCAGAGTTCACCGCAGGCAAGTTGGAAAAGTCCCTGCCTCGCCCTAGAATGGTGGTGGCGAACCTACGGCATAAATGCCACCACAGGCTGTTTGTATCCTTAAAGGTTTGCCGTCACTGCTCTAGGGGCGAAGCTGAGATGTAGCCCCTTGAGATCTCAAGTGCAGAAAGGAGAAGTTGCGTTTCCTCCCCATGTAGAGACGGGAAGAGGGCTGTGAACTGGGCAAAATTCCAGGAAATCTAGACCGAGGGGAAATGTTCTTGGTTTGTGATTTCCCTGAGCCAAGAGCACAGAGCGGGTGAATTTCAGTGAGGTCCACATAAGATAGTAGGCTGTCCCCGGCTGTATGCAGTTCCCACTGTGAGACGGCAGTGCTGCAAGCTCTCCTGGGTGCCTGGGTGGCTCAGGGCACAAGGCCTGGTGCTCCTCCTTTGCCCCCTCCCAGCTTTCTGGGCAGCACGTCCCCTCGTGCTGCCCGAGGTCTCACGTGCCAGCCTGGGGCCATAGGCTCCATCCTTGCCCCTGCATCTCCACCGGGCAAGTCCTGACAATGCCAAGTGCTTGGTGACGGGACAGCCCTGAACTCTTCCCAGTGTCCGGCTGAGAGGACTGTGTCCCCCCAGCCACAGTGAGCACAGGTCACCTACTCAGGCAGCAGCAGTGGCACCACAGGCAGGTGTGGAAGGGAGGACCAGAGGGTCGCACAGGGCCCTGAAGAGACCCTGGCGGGACAGACCTGTTTTCCAAGGCCCAGGAGGGGTCCACGTGGTCTCCGAGTGAAGGGTGGAGGCCACTTGGCGACTGTTCCAAATGTGGCTCTGGGAGGTGATCTTTGGGGGGCTCTGGCACGCCCACCAGGTTGAACTCCACGCTTTTCTTGGCAGGATGGACCTCCTCCGGGAGCTCCTCTGAGGCCTGGTCGTGTGTGGAGGGCCACTGGGGAACGTTGGCCCCTGACGCCACCAAAGGCTTTAGGCTCTGGCCTCTGGCGACTGTTCCCGCAGTGTCACAACAGTTGGGGGCTTCGAACAATTCGGAGAAGACCGTGGCAGAGTGGCTGAGGGGCATCAGGGGGGCGCTGTAGTAGCCAGGCCTCTCGTACGGGGCGGCCACCTTGAAGGCATCTGGCGGTGGCTGGGCCCCAGGGTGTGGCTCGGCGCCCCTGGACCGGCTGTGGTGGCGGAAGGGTCTCTTCTGGGAAGGCAGCAGCTTCCTTGAAGGGTGGTGCTCGTGGAGCTGCTGCCCGAGGAAGCGGCCGATGACTTCCTGGTGGGTCTCGTCCTCCTCCTTGATCGGCTGGAACTCCATGTCTTCTTGCTGCAGGCTGGAAAGCAGGGCACCCGGCTGAGCAGAGGGACAAGGGGCTGAAGCTTGTCCTCCAGGCCCTGCCCAGGCCCAGGCTCGTCTGCCCTCCAACTGGACTCGCTGTGCCCGCTGCCCCTTGCCCACAGCCCTGGCCTGGCATCTGTGTCTCTGCTGCAGGTTATGGGATTTGCTGGTCCCGTTCAGATGGGACCTGGAAGCCAGGAACTTGGGGGCCACCATCCTCCAAGATTGGAATCTGACTTCTATGGCAAAGTTCCCAGCACACAGCCATCCCTGCCCAGGCCCGTTTGTCCCCTGCCCCAGAGCCAGGCTCCTGGCCCAGAGGAGACCACCTGCCAGCCCACAGCAGGTGACCTGTCCCAGGTGCTGCCTCTTTCCCAGGTCCAGCCCTTGGGTCTGAGCTCCCTTGAGGCCTGCATGTGACTGCATGCATCACTGTCACCTCCCCATGCCAGGGCCCAGGCCACGGGAGGTGCCACGCACCCCAAGATGTCCCTGCCCTAAACCAGCCATCCTGGGCTGATCAGGGCCTAACCCTAGCTGAAGAGCTACAAGTTTGAGTTCACCCAGCGACTTGCTGAGGATCTGCCTCAAAGTTTTAAAAAGCGGGGTGCTGGGGATGTCCAGTAGCTCAGTGCAAGGCCCCAGGTTCAACTCCAGTCACACATGCAGCACAGAGCATGTAGACTCACACCACAGGACCTTCAGCACGGACCCCAGAACCTACAGTCTCCAGGGACGAGGGAGACTGGGTCTGAAGGCAGCCCTGGTAGGAACACAGCCTGTGCCCTCTGCTCTACAGGACAAAGTCCTCTCCGGGCACCCTGACCCCTCCCGCACCGCCCTCCCTTCCTCTCCCCTCCAGAACCCAAGTCAGCAGAGATCCGGCAGAGGGAGAAGCAGGTCCTGACAGCCCTGCGTCACCACCACTGGCTGTCACAGCTGCTTCCCTTCTGGGCCGCGTGTCCAGCGCCCGACCAGAAGGGTGGGGGTGGGGCAGCCGCATTCCGGCCTCCCAGGTCCCTGAGCAACACAGCCCGGGCGCAAGGGCACAGAGCTGCCACCCAGCAGCCCCCACCAGCTGTGTGGCCTGGCACTGGGCAGCTTGGTTTTCCGTGAGCCTCTGCCTGATTGTCTGAAAGTGGGGAGATAACCTGGAGTTACCCAGAGGCAAAGCCGTGAGTGCCAGGAGCAGGGCTCGCGCACGGCCCTCCTGATATTGAAGGTGGAGCCCAGGAAGGAGGTGCGGTGGGACCGCAAGGTGGCGGCCGTCGGGGGGGGGCTGGGGCTCTGTCTCATCCCAGTACATGTCCCGCTCCAGGGGGGGCAGGTCCTGGTGCATCTCGTCCACAGACAGCAGGGACACCTGGTTGTCAGGACAGAGGGGCGGGGCCGTAACTTCACCTGCGGTTGGCTGCAGTCGCCCCTCTGGACCTGTTTCCCTGCCTGTGAGATGGAGCCGGGCAAGCGCCTGCAGCCACAGGAGGAGATGAGAACCCTGGGGGAGAGGGCGGGTCACTGGTGGGCGCCCATGGGAAGGCCTGTGCAGCCTCCCCGTACCTGCAAGTTCCTGTCCAGGATCCAGGTGATCTCGAAATCATCATCATCCTCTCCGAAGGGGTTGATGAGCTGCTCTGCCACCTTGGGGACAGGAGAGGCTCTGCAGGCCTCCGGGGATGCTTAGGCCGCCTCCCAGCCACCTACGGAGGTCCACACCAGAACCTGCCCTCCAGCCCAAGCCCTGGGGCCAGCCAAGTGCCTCTGCTGTCCCTGGGGGAGCTGCTGCTCACCCACCTGCATTACCAGGAGTTGCGTTAAAGCAGAACTTGGAAGGAACTCAGTTCTCTAGCTGGAAGCTGTCTAGCAGCTCCCCACTCAGGCTCTGCCCCTTCCCCCAGTACAGACACCGTGGTTCCTCAGGAATCTGCCTTCCTTCCAGGCGGAGCCCTGGACTAACACAGCAGACCCTTCCGTTCATGTGAATGAAGCCCTTCCAGCCTGTCAGGAACTGTATGCCCTCAAAGATACAGAAGAGACTGGCGACTGTGTCCTGTACAAATGTCACGAGGCCCTGCTCTCACAAGACCCACAGGAACAAGTGGTCATCGTGCGAGACGTGGCTGCTGTGCTTTTGCCTGCTTCTGTAACCCCACTTCCCACCCACTTCAAGAGAAAGACCACTCCCCCATCAGAAGACGCACGAAACCATAACATCTCCCTGCCCAGCGCCCAGCACTTTGCACACCTAACAAACCCTCCTGATTCCCATTTGTCTCCTGTCCTTCTGGAGTTCTGCAGCATTCTGCTGAATGAGACGGTGGTGCTTGTGGGCAGTGCCCTGACAAAGTTGCACAGGGGTGTTGGGATGCCCTAGGGCTCAAGGGACAGCTTGCAAGCCCTGGGGACACCCTGGAGAATTTCAGGGGTGCATCAGGGGGAACCGAGTGGGCATTTAAAAAGCAAAGGTAGGGGCTGGGGATTTAGCTCAATGGTTCTGCTGCCTGCCTCACAAGCACAAGGACCTGAGTTTGATCCCCAGAACCAAAAAAAAAAAAAAAAAAAA